CACCTCCTACACAGCTTCAGCGGTCAAGGAGAGTCAGCTAAGCTTTAATTTCCATAGTTTGTGCTATGAGAATCAGAAATATTTTTTGACATTTCCCCAAATATAAAAATTGTAACATGAAATATGCTTTTTCAAACAACACCTTGTCCGTCACCCCCTTAGAAGAGCCCAGCAAGCTATCTCAGGCTGTCATTTTCAGGACTCCTTTACCTCCCTTTTGGGAATCTCTGCTCTCCTATCATTTAAAGATATTGATTATCTGCTCTACCACTACCCTGTTCTCTTTTCTTTTTGTCGTGGTTGCCTGTGTTTGGTGTCAGTTTTCAGATAAGAAAAGAGAGTGCTGTTGAGGCTCTATTTATAATATGTCCTTGAAAGCTGAGTGCTGACTTCTTTGAGCTACAAAGCTGGCAGATTAGGACAAGAGGCACAAGGCAGGGGGTCATCCCCAGTGAGATAATGGCACGGACGCAGCAGCGCGGGCACGCAGGCACGCTCCCGGGCAGGTGCGCGCACACACGCAGCACGCACAGTATCCAGGTCAAAATGAATAAACAGAAAAGAAACACAGGTCCAGGGAAAAGGGGGAAATGACAGGATCATAATAGAAAACATATTTGAAAACATAATAGAAACATATTTGGTGAAAAGATGAGAAAAAGAATGAAAGGGGAAGGGAGGAATTCAGAGAGAGCAAATTTAGTTTGGAAAGCACAGAACTTGGAGTCAGGGGACTTCAATTTGAAGCCTGGCTCTGCTTGATTTATTCGATTTATTAGGAATTTGAGCTTGGGAAAGTTTCTTGGCCTCTCTGAATTTTGGTTCCCTCTTCCCTCGCGTGGGTGTATGTAACATTTTCTTTCCAACTAATCTCATAAGATTGCTATAAACATCAAACGTAATCATGGCTATGGAAGTTCTTTGTAAACTGAAAATCCTGTCAACACACAAGACTTTCAGCCTTCTCATCAGAGCTAGCATTTTGCAGAGCTGTTCGCCAGCCACTGTGACACGCTCTGCGTTCATTAAAGTGCGTAACCTCATCACAATCTTGCAGGTATAAACTATTATTATTCCTCTTCTACAGATGAAGGAACACACAGAGGGATGATAATGTGCTGGAAGTCACACACTTGGGAAGCTGTTAACTGGGATTTGAACAAGGCTTGCCTGAGTTTAATAGCCAGTTCTCTTAACCAAGCTGCCACCTCTTGGACCTTAATATGTATCCAGTGCTGGTTACCTTACCCAAGTGAAATGAAATCCACCTCCCAGCTCCGGCTGACACAACAGAATGCCACAGATGAGGTGTCTTCAACAACAGAAATTTCTTTTCTCACAGTTTTGGGGTTGGAAGTCCAAGATCAAGGTGCTGGTAGTGTTGGTTTCTGATGAGAACTTTCTCTCTGGCTTGCAGACAGCTGCCTTGTTTCTGAGTTTCCACGTGGGCTTTTCTCTGTATGTGGGGAGACAGAGTGGGATCTCTGGTGTCTTCCTCTTCTTACAAGGACACTAATCTCCTAGGATTAGGGGCCCACCCTTATGACCTCATTTAACATTAATTACCTCTCTAAAGGCCCTATCTCCAAGTATTGTCACATTGAGGGTTAGGATTTCAACATATGAATTTGGGGAGGACACAATTCAGTCCATAACTGACATGTAATAGACACATACTCAAAAAAAAAAAAAATACTGTCGATTTTTTCTCCCCTGGGAGGAATGTTATAAAAACCCCATCGGATAAACAGTGGCCACTGCGGCAGAATTCTTCAGCTCTGAGTCCTGCCCAGATAACTGCTTTCCCAGCATGCCAAGCAGCTCTGCTGTACAGGAATGAAGTGGGTTTCATGCAAAATATTTATGCTGTTCCTGCTCCCTCCCTCCCTCTTGCTTCAGAGAGCATTCTGAAGTGAAAGATCTGTCCCTTGTTCCCCTCTTGCCAAGCCTTCCTATTTATAGTTTCTGGCACTGGTGAGTCTGAAGGAGTCAAGAGTTTTCAAATCACTTCCATGGCTTTTGCAGCATGCCTCCCCACCCCCTCTCCTTGGCCATTAGAAATTACTATTCCTGGTTCCCACAGGGTGGGTGTGAAGGGAGAAGGGAAACAAAGAGAAAGAAAGATTTGCAGTATGGGAAGCCACAATTCCCTTTAAACAAACAAAAAAACCTCAGAGGAAAAGACACTGTGGTTTTATTCCTGAAGTGTTTTCTGCTTAGGTCTGCTGGTAACCAAGGCCTCCTGGTCTGTTCCTTAAACCTTAGAGGAAAAGTTTTATGTGGACTTCATCCTTGAGTCCTGCTTCACAGATGCTGATGAGTCCGAGGGCAAAGAGAGACAGGCCAGAAAAGTTTGTTGCCTGGATGTCAGCAGCCATTAAAGGGTTTTACTATTCATCTCTCTACTCCTGGCGGCACATGATAAATTACCAGCATCCATCTATCTAACAGGATCAGTCTTCGGAACTTGTGAGCCGTATGTTCACGTCATTGCTTTGTGCTAATAGATACTCTAAGTATGCAACGATCTGGCACATTTCATGGGTATTTATCAAAATGTTCTCTTGTCTCCCAACACGTATATTAATAAAAAATAATACTGAATAGTTCCAAGTTGCAGCCATGCACGTGATTCCAAACTGTAAGTTTAAGTTTGTACATTTAATGAAGGTTCTTTGTAACCATAAGAAGAAAAAAAAATAGCCCGGTAATCAGAAGTACTTATGGAAGATAGAATAAAGCTTGTATGTTACAGTTTTTATAGATGGATAGTAGAGAAAAGATAGAAATATGGTTAAACTTTTACTGGTTATTCCCAGTAAAACTTTGGGGTTGAGTGTTCAGCCATCTGGGACAAGAACAAGCATTCTTTACTTTGGCAACCTTGTCTCTGTGACCTTGAAATAGGTCACACTCCATCTTTAGTCCCATAATGCTAATTTCATATTTTCTGGAAAAGAAATTAATATATTTTAAGAATTTTTCTGTTGCCAACACTTCCTCCCTGGTTAGCATAATCAATAATAGGAGTTCTTGAGCTTCTAAAGAAAATAAGGCTAATAGTTGTGTTTCAAGTCAACAAATTGTAAGTTAGAAAAAAATCTGGAGGAACAAATATCAAATAGTCAATTTTGGTTGTTTCTTGGAGGTGAGTTTATGTAGGTCATCTTAATTCTGTTTTAGAGTTCTGAATTCACTGACTTACTAGAAAACATTTAAAGCTTTTTTTAAAACATTTTTTATTGATTTATAATCATTTTACAATGTTGTGTCAAATTCCAGTGTTCAGCACAATTTTTCAGTCATTCATGGATTTAAAGCTGTTTTAACTTTTCCATTTGGGAAAAAATTTAAATACATAATACAGGAAAATATAGTAAATGCATGCATACTTTCCAACCCAAATGAACAAATGTTAACATTTTGTCAAATTTTATTTTTATTTTATTATTAAACCTTTTCTTTTCTTTTTCTTTCTTTCTTTTTTTTTTTTTGGTGGGGGGAGGTAATTAGGTTTATTTATTTATCATTGGAGGAGATACTAAGGATTGAAGCCAGGACCTCATGTATACCGAGCAGGTACTCTACCGCTTGAGCTATACCCTCCCCACTTTAAACTTTCTCTTTAAAATAAGTAACAAAAGTTACAGATTAAGCTGAAATCCTCTCTATAGCCCTTGCAAGCCCCACTATTCTGTCTACCTCCACGGTAGTGGCCACCACCAGGAATTTGGAACATATCCTTCAGCCATAAGCATATGTAGCTATCAGTTATGTAAGGTGTTGCTTTGCATGTCCTTAAACAAGTGTATAAACATCTTACTGCATCATTCTGCAACTTAATTTTGCATTTTCATTATGCTTTCTCAAAGGCATTCCTCCTATTACTTACTGGCATTATAAAAATAGTTATTACATTTTTTAACAATTTACATTTTTTAACTTCAGTTTGCAGGGGAAACATTTCATAACCTTAATAAGTCAGAATATTTGAGAGACACCTATAGTACCTGCACTTTACAGAATATTATCAGGCAGTGCCACTCCCTCAGTGTCTCTGTTTAGGAACCTCTAAGACAAGGGCTTCGGTGCAATTAATTAATCTATTGGGAGAATCCCAGGAAGCAAGAGTGAGGAAGACGGGGGGTGAAAAAGCCAGTAGAGATGTGCATTACTGAAACTGCCATTGGGTGGGTGGGGTCACAGAGGCTCAGTTCTACCAGGACCTCTTGAAAAGCACATGAAATGCTGCCCAGATTGTCCATCTAGAGGAAGGGAGGATGGTTGACGGTGGACCCCAGGGCATTAGCCTCCCCACACTCTCGGGCTGCACCTTCCATGGGCCATGAAGGCATCAGGAAAGTCTCCAAAGCAGAACAAGACAAAAGCAGAACACGGCGCACACTCCAATGGGACGTGGCCAGTCAGGGTGGGTCTGAGCTCACCCGGAACTCCTGGGCCTTTGGAACCCTGGCCTCCAGCTGGGACCAAAAACAGTGAGACAACAGCTGACGGCAGGACTCTTTCTTCCTTGCAGATGCATCTGGTCTGACTATACAGAGTAGGCTTTGTGTGTATTTAAACAAGGGTAGAAACATTAGTGTTTCATTCTTCACCTGAACTGTGCATTCCCATCATGCTTTCTTGAAGGCTCTCCTTCTCTGTTGTTACTTGCTGGCATTTAAAAAATATTTACTAATTTTTAACAATTTACATTTTCCTCTTTAATTAGCAGGACGAGACATTTCATAACCTTAAAAAAGCCAAAGTAATTGAGAGCCACCTCAATTACTTTGAGGGTGAGCCTACTTTGAGAGAGTAGGCTGCTCCCTCAAATTCAACAAATGTCAGGAAAACCAAGGTTTCCAAGTCTCAAGAGCTGTCTCAGTCAGAAAATTCCAAACAAGGGCTCACCATCTGTGAAGTCACCCATTTCTTACAGCCCAAACGCCAACAACAACAAAAAATCAATTCTGTTTAGTCTACTCATCTCACCACTTTCCTACCCACAAGTAGAGGGGAGGAGCAGCCAGCCAACAGTGTGAGAAAGCCAACGCTGCCTTCCTCTCGGGCCTGTACTAGACTACAGTCAAAGGGGATGAGCCACACCTGTTTCTAAAACCCCAGGACATAGAAGATGCTCAGTAAATGCATCGCGAACCATTGACCCCACCTCGTGCCTAAAACACCAGCTTTACTTAGCATGACTCTTCAAGGGATAAGTCCATTACCTGACAGGGTTTCATACACCATTCAGGTCACCCACCAATCCCACTCATTCCCATCCCCTGGGCAATCAATCATAGGACAGAGGCTGAGTACATCAGAGAAATAAAGGGTTCCAGACGTAGGGCAAAAGGCATCGGTGGGGATCCAGAATGAGGCAGAGGGGAGAGGAGATGCTGGCAAGGAAGGATATTAGCTCAAAGGGTGAGAGCTACTCACCAGAAGTGTGAAGTGTTGCTGAAAAAAACGTTTCTGTATCTTCAGTTTTGCCGGGGGTCCACTGTGATTCCTTTTATGTAAAAAGGCAATTTTTTCCAGTGGATTTTGGAATGACTTCTTTGTTCAGAGCCTTCTGGTCACTTGTCATTATCAGTAAGATGGCCCCGACCTGTAAGACAATCTACTATGTTCAGTCTTGCTATGTCACCACTTCCAAAATTCTGCAGGGCAGAGATCACATCAGCTGACATTCACTGTGATACCCAGTGTGTCTACAGTTCTCAGTGAACCCAGTTAGCCATCTGTTCACTCAGTCAAGAGGGCCTCTCTTTTGATGAAACATGCCAGGCTTCCAGTGCCAAAGGAAAGCAGAGGATTATAGTAATTATGTGGATGACTCCCACCATAATCTCACTTTTGCCTAAGTGTGATCCTTACCTTAATTGCCTTGATAGCTAGAGGGAGACTTTATTCTTGGAATTACAAAATTACAGGGCTAGAAAGAGATCTAAGAAGGTCATTAATCATCAGGATAATAAGCTCAATTATCTGGTACAAAAAGATTTCAGACACCTCTTCCTTTTCATGCTTGGTGGATAGAGGGATAGATTTCTCAGCATTTTCCCCTCACTCCATCTTACCACCTATCACTCTGTCCCCAGTGAAGGGAAACAAAAACGAAATCTCATCAGATCCTACAAATGAGAGATCCCTTAGGGAAAAAGGACAATATGGGTAGTGGAATGGGCAGAATAGGTGAAGGGTATTAAGAGGTACAGACTTCCAGCTATAAAATAAATAAGTCAAGAGGATGTGACAACATACAGAACATAGTCAATAACATTGTGACAACTCTATATGGTGACAGCCATCACTAGACTTAACATAGTGATCATTTTGTAGTATCTAAAAATATTGAATCACTATGTTGTACACCTGAAACTAATATAATATTATGTGTCAAATATAATTCAATTTAAAAAAAGAAAAAGAATACAAGGTGTCCTTTAATTCCTGTCCACAGTAGTACCACTTTGTGTGTGTGTGTGTGTGTCTGAATTCTTTTTATTTTTATTTTTTTAATTGAAGTATAGTCATTTTACAATGTTCTTGCAATTTCTGGTGTACAGCATAGTGTGGTGTATAGCATAATGTTTCAGTCATTCATATACATATATATATTCCTTTTCATATTCTTTTTCAATATAGGTTACTATGAGATACTGAATATAGTTCCCTGTACTATACAGAAGAAACTTGTTTATCTAATACCACTTATTTTATTGGTTAGGTATAACGTGATGTTAGGCTTTGAAACAGTGAATTTAGTAAATACAAACGTCTAAGACCTTCTAAACTCTAACCGTCTGTTTTTGTCTGGTATTTTTTCCTCAATAATCCTAAATTTCAGGTAATATCCTGTGACTGCAAAAAAGTTTCAGGAGAAGACAGATTTGATTTTTTTGTATTTAATCAATAAGGTTCAAATCTATTTCTGATTTACTAAGCTCCAAGGCGTCCTCTGAATTTATATTAGAGCAGAGAATTACAGACACAAGGACTGTCACCTGCAAAGGATGCCACCCTCCACCAGCTCCCTCGGTGTTTCCTCCCGCTGACAGCTGCAGAAGCGATCATCATGCCTAGGTTTTTTATGCTTATATAACATCTCAACACTTTCCTCAGGTTTGATGGAAGATGCAGAGTATTTGCTCCAGTTTTTTTCTTAAAGAACTCTGTACTCTGTGTAAGCATGGATGGCTTTTCAAAACAGTTACTTAGAGGTGTAACATTCTTGTATCACATACTAAATACAGGATGAAACACTCCCTTTGCAATTTGATAGGGTACCTCTTTCAAGATGGGGAAAAAAATTACCCAGGTGTGGTTCTTCAAAGATTCTCTTTATCTGAACGTCATGTTCAAGTCAAAGCATCAAGTGCACTTACGGTTTTCTAATTATTACAGGAAAAAGCGTTGTTGTTTATTTAACTCCACAGCGGTTGCCATTTTGCTGAGGGCTTCCTATCTGCTGGGTCGTATGACTTCATAAGTTAACCTATTTAATCCTCAAAACTACCTTGAGAGCCAAGTATATTTATTTCCATATTGTAGGTGAGGAAACGGATGCTTGGAGCAGTTCACTTACTTCCCCAGGAAGCAAAAGGGCTGGAGCTGGGATTAGAACCAGGTCTTTTATGATTCAAAAGTCAAATCAACTTTACGTGTTTCATTTCACAGAGAAACCCCACATGCAATTCAGCTTACTTTCTGAATTAACTAGGTAACCTGAAATGGACTGACTATCTCTTTAAAGCTTTTTGAGTGGCATCGGCTGCACAGCAATATTTGGTGACTTTTCATAGTGCATTTTCATATGCCTGACAACATCATCTCATTTTGGTTTTCGTTTAGAAATAATGATGAATATTAATAAGTGCTCGAGGCACAATGTCTTTTCTTATGAGAGCCCTGTCACATGAGTGAGTGAGCTTCTAGAAAGTGTGGCTGAAAATGGAAATGCGGATAGAAATGCTGAAGTGGGGAGACATGAGGCCTCTGGGCTCCGAAACTTAAATACAACTTCCCAAACTGCTGCTTATCTCTGATGAGGAGTGTGGGGATACCCTGAATTTTCCAGGGAGAGCTGTTCATTGGCCAAGAACGTCATCGTAGAGGAATTAAATAAGTCTCATTTTGTAGAATACTGAACCACGGCATCTTATCTGTTCTCTGCAACTTGATATTTGAAGCAGACTCATTCCAAGGAATGCCGAAGACTGCCGGCAAACCACCAGGAGCTAGGAGACAGGCAGGGAAGAGACTCTTCCTCACAACCTCAGAAGGAACCAACCCTGCCCGCACCTTGATCTTGGACTTTCAGCCCCCAAAACTGAGACAGTAAATACTGCTGTTTAAGCCCCCAAGTCTGGAGTACCTGTTACAGCAGCTCTAACATACTAACACAGAGCCACTGACCAGTCTTGCCTAAAGTTGGCTCACCCTAGAATTTCAGTTCCCTGAACCAATATTGTTTTTTTTACTTCATCCAGTGTGATTGAGCTTCTAGAACTTGCTACACAAGATTCCTCACAAATACTCCATCAACCTCAAGAGCATCCGAGGAGGGGGACCAAGATGACAACAGGACCGAAAGTGTGTCACCTGGGAAGGGCAGAAGGAGCTAAGGTATAGTAAGCCAGCTGAATGACAATCTACAGAAAGGAAGGAAAGGAGATTGAAGGCTTTCCTGCAGAAGCTTCATGGGAGCAGGAACGTTTTCCGTGTGGTTCCCTGCTGCACCTCCAGTGCCTGTCACATACTGCTCTATAAATACTTGATGAACAAACGAAATGAAAATGAAAGTCCCTGAGTCCTTGGTTGCAAGCAAGAGCAGCACGTGCTTAACAGAAATAGGTTTGGGGGGAGGGTTTATTGAAAGGATTTTGAATAAACCAAATAATTGCTGGGATGACTAGAGAATCTGTCCAGAGCAAGCAGGAAGGGCCATAATCAAAATCGTGCCACAGAACCAGATGTGAGGACTCCAGAGCTGCTGACCATGAAGATGGCACATCACAGTTTGGGGGCTGCGTTTGTCACTGTCCCCGAGGACAGAGAGAAGTTTTTCAGAAACACTTTGCAGTCCAAGCTTGGTTTACCTGTCCTACCTTCTGGTCCACAAAAGTAAAACATTCATAATGTCTTCAGGGATTGGGCTCCATTTAGAGTAGCTCTGCTGCCAGTTACTCCAACATGAAGAACTGCTTTCAAAGAAACAACATCTATTAAGTGCTTGCTCTGTGCTGGGCTTCCCGTGCTCGGTTCATTATTCCATTTAGTCATTCCAACAACTCTGGAGGCGAGGTGATATGCCCACCATGTGCCAGGCCCTGTGGAACTGTATATGTGCAGAGAAACAGTTTGAATTCTGCAGAGTCATTTAATAGCTGTGTGTCCTTAGTCAACTTACTTAACTCCTCTGTGCCTCCTTTTCCCATTCTGTACAATGGAAATGATTTTTAAATGACCTATCTCATAGGTTCTTATGAGGATTATATTATATTGTATTGTAGTATGTTACATGATGTTATATTACCAAGTTATTATATATAAAGTAGCTAAAACTGCTTGGTATATAGTACCACATTCTCCTCATCACAATCCTACAAAGGCTAGCGCATCACTTTGTGCTGCTGAAACTGAGGTCCAGTGAGAGAAGCCTGTGTTTGGTGGCACAAAGTGGTTGGACCCAGAAATCCATCTGACTTCAGAGTTTAAAACATCCTCAAGGTTGACAGGAGGAGCAAACTGGGTTGAAATGCTTGAGTCATTCCTGAGGTGCAAAACCATGGAGAGTTTGGGGCCACAAAGAAATGTAGGAAGCTTTCAACATGGATTTTCTGCTCTCTGTTTGCACATCCTTATACAAACTTCTTATGAGCTTCAGTAGTTTTAAATCTCTCTTTCATATAAAGTCAATTTTAAAAACGTGAAGGCAAATAAAATGACTTGACTGGGAACTTGCTTGGAGCCTAAGGCAGGCTGCCCAAGCTGGAAAGGCAGAAATGCTGGTTGCCCAGGTGTGTGCTTAGTGCTGCAGAATTGGGTTGCACTGGTCAGGTGACCTCAGTCAGGGCTGTCCAGCCCACCGGGATCATGAAGAATGTCATTGCCCTTCTCCTCCCAAAAATGTGCATAAAATTTCATACTCCTCTCAAAACCATCTACGAGTTCCAGGTGAAGAACTCTTCTTCCTGATTAGTGACTCTAGAGCTTTTTAAAAACCTGCAATCCTTTTTTAAGAACAGTCAAAAATCACCACAGTCCAGCTGTGCTGCCTGCTCCCAGCGTCCGGTAGGAACCTAACATCTGTGTGTACAGTTGCAGGGAAGCCAGATTTTCCTCATCCAGTTACTATTTATTATTATCTACCACGCATCTGGCATAGTTTTGAGAAGCTGGTGATACAGGTGTGAACGAGATGAACACGGCCCTTGTCCTCATGGAGCTAAAATTTCAAGGGCAAGATTGACAATAAACACAAAAAGTGATGTACAGGACAGACACGGATAGGGTAACCAAGACTGACTGGTGGGTGGTGATGTAATGGGGTGGGCAGGGAATGTCCTCTGAGGTCATTTGCATCGATGTCTAAGTGGCAAGGTGGAGCCAAATGTTTGAAGAACTAAGAGACTGCTTTCCAAGGCAGAGGAAATAGCAAGTGCAAAGGCCCTGCGCCAGTAATGAAGGTGGTCTTACTGAGGAATAGAGACGGAACCGGTGGGGGTGGCCTATTAGCGTAGGTGGTAAATTAACACCGAATTTGAGGCTTCAGTAGCTCTCATAGAGCAATAAGCTTAGTTTCTGGATATCAAATTTGAATAAGCATTAATGACTACTTAGTAACTATTTAATAGGTTTTTAGGAGTAGACTCTGTGTGTAATAATGAAAATCTAGGAAACCAAAAGTCCTTGTAAAAATTCAAGATAGGACCAGCATTTTCTCAGTTATTAAGTACTATATCAGAAAGACCTGTGGGCTATGTATAGATCAATTTTTAGCCATTACTGAGCCAGGGGGCTTCTTAAGGGCTCAACACCAGTTCCGTCAGCTGGAAGCTCAGATCCACCAAAGTTTTAGACTCCACTGCAGCCGCTGCTTTTACTTCAACCATCACATCTTCAACATTTCTACGTTATACCCCAAACAAGTGCCCACTTTGAGAGAAAAGGCAAAGTTCCATGTTTTTAACAGAGATATTTCAAGTTTGGAGGAGAAAACAAGACTGATTACAGTTCTCACTATAAGTAAGTCAAGGCTCCAAAAGGACTCCCTAAAAATTGCTTTAGAAATGCAAGTTTTTCTAAAAAGCACCCCCTCCCTGAAAAGAGAGAGAGAGAGAAGTTAATTCGAGGAAACATCTGCAAAAGTTTTTGCCCTGCCTCAGAATTTCAGGAATGTCATTGTAATGGATTCCTCTTAGCGCAGATGAAATCAAAGGCAGTGAACGGTGGGGTGTTCTACCATCCAAAATGGCAGCCACTTCCCTGCAATTTAAGCAAAACATTAGGGCAGCAGTGGTTTCCTTAAGGTTCTTGTTATGAAGTAAAGCAGAAACCTGTTTGCACTTAACTTTGAGTAGCCATGCATTTTTAACCCCTACGGAAGGAACACAGAGACCTTTCAGGTTATTATTTAGTTCACTGAGAAACTGAATAGATGAAACACATTAGCTTACTATCAAAGGAAGGAAAACTGAATGTTTCCCCCATCATCAGGGCATCAAGGTGCAGGACAGAATTGAAGGAATAATATTTATTACATACTTAAAGACATGTGGAGGGATGAAAGGATTAGCTCCAGAGAAAATTACTGCAGTTTTTATTTTTTGTATTTGACAAAAAGCTTTCAAATTTTGGCTTGGTCCTCCTAATAACTCTTATAGTTAGCATGTTACTCAGGATTCTTTTAGTAAGTGAAAGACACATATCTAAAGTGTGTATAAGCATAAAAGAGAACGTATTGTCATATATAAAAGGGGCTACATTCAGGTCTGGCTGGATTCAGAGGCCAAAGAACCTCTCTGTCTCTCCCTCTCCCTCATTATTCTCTCTTCCTCCTTCCCTCTCTGTATCTTGGCTTCATTTTCCTTTAACACATTAGTGTTATCTTCTCCTATTGTAAATGACTTCCTGCAGACAGCTAAAGCTTACATCATCCTTGTAGATTGCAGGTCCAGATAAAGCAGAAATCAGAGAATGTGGAGAGATCTTCAGTGGCCCGGCTTTGGCCATGTACCCATCCCCTAAGCCAACCTCTTTGCATAATGGAGCGGTTTATCATCACTGGCTGGGCTCAAGTCTATGGCCACTACCGTGGCCAAACAGTAGGTGTGACTGACAGTCCAGCCAGAGCCACGTGGAATTAGGGTTGAGTGTTCTATTTCTGTAATGGAAAGAGGACTGCTGAGCTGACAAGCTACAGATAGGCAGAGCCAATACTGTTAATCCCATTTTGCAGAGGAATCAATTTTAATGGCGGACTGGACCAAATTTGAGAGTGTCTGTTAATCATGGCCTCATTAACCTTCATTCCATAAGACAGATGAGGTTTAAAGGGCACAGTAACACAGTAAATTAAACTTACATGAAAGTAAAAATTCCAAGATCCTTCTCTGAGAGTCAGTCTTATGTAAGGAAACGAGTGGATATATGCAGGAGGGAGGAGAACCTCAGTAAAGAGGGTTATTTGAGTCCTTGTCACTTCCCCTCTAGGCTGCAGGCATTTGGAGGAAAAGAATCTGTGACTTTCCTCCTTTATCCCCTGCAGGGCTTGGCAAATGATAGCAAAGAGCAGTAAATGTGAGCCAAATAAAGAGAAATAAGTTAGCACCCTTTGCTTGTCCTCTTCTCCTTGGTAAATTGATGCAAATTCAATATATCACCCTCAATGCTATGTCCGTGCAATAGACAAGGTTGACCTTTTGCATTGGCAGAAACTGAAGCTGTGTGACAGGGCTTTGAGAGCAGTGCAAATAACCTGGAATCATAAATTTACAGATTACAGCTGAGTTTTAAATAGCATATGATTCAATTCCTCTAATTTTACATATCAGAGAATGGATGCCAGAAAATGCATATCAAGCCCCAAATTTTCTGTGGGGGGAAATGGCAGAGGTATGTAGGCTACTGTCCTTGGTTCTGAACCACTCCTCCGTGCCGATTTGCTTCTCCTGATGTTAGACCCTTGAATTCCTGTCCAACCTCTCCTGGTCCTCTGGGTGTTTATATATGTTTGTATTTAAGATGGATGGAGTGGGAGGGTGGGGGTGGAGATAAGTTATTTACTACCTCAGAGAAAGTAAATGAGACTTGTAACCCAATATATAGGTTATTCTACAAACTTCTAAGAGTTCTCTAATCTTTCTGACAATTATTACTCTCTCCTTCCCAGGATGTGCTTATGCCATCCAAAGACGTGAATCAATTTGCCCCAAGTTCACAAATGAACTAGAGATTCCAGGCTTCCAAAATTATAGTCTGTTGGGTTTCCACCCCAGCCCCCTCGCGCTACCACCACTACACCTTACTATCCCATTGATATTTGAAAATTCTATTCCAAGAGTCTTAA